AATAATCTTACGCCACCTTTGCACAAAACGACGATAATTTTTCTAATTTCATAGACAACAGAAGACTGTATTTTTTCTCCATAACCCCCCCTAATTTAAAGCTGGATCCGYCCCTGCATAGTTTGCACGCTTTCTACAGTAATCTCCCTAACAACCAAACGCAAAATGCTCAGTTCATGATTCAATGAATTCATTGTTTCGTTTGGCTCTAACCGATTTTACGAATGACACTCTGGCAATCAGGAAAATCAGAGATTTTGTAAAGACTTTTTTAGGGTATTTTTCTTCGCAAAAAGCCCAAATCAGGTCCCAAACGCGATTTTAAAAGCATTGACACTACTGTATTCATTGTATCATGTGTAGTAGGTACTATTTGAGCTTGTTAATACATCGTAAATTATTTTAATAGGTTTTGAGCCATATTGTGAAAACACATAAGAAATTCCTCGCATGATATCATCAACCATATATAATATCGCAGGGTTATTTGTTTAGAACCACATGGACTAATTTTTATGTGCGAAAGTGAAATTGATGGTTTGGTCGTTTTATAGAATTAACATTTCTGTAGACGAGCGAGGAAAAGCTTTATTGTCTTGTGGCCTACTTTAATTTCGCCAGAGTAAATAAACTTACCACTGGGTTTCAGATCCGTCGTGTCGGACGTCCTGGTAGGCTTGCTTGACGCTCTGTGAGTCCAACGTTGTAGATAACGCTCCCTGAAACGGAAAACGATCGAATTGAGTTTTCCCACTGGGTTTTTAAGCTTTCAATGACCCCAAAGGAATTTTAGATAAAGTTGATGCCGGACAATAGACTGGCAACGACCGCGATAAGCTAAATACAGATAAACAGAAAGTAAAAGGACTTATTAATCAAATAATTTGTTTTTGTTTATAATAATTTCCAAGCCCAAGGCAACGAGTCACGAGTCCCATATAAATGGCCTCATTTAAGTGTTTAATTGAAACAGTTCTGCATACATTCTGTATGGTTCAGGGATGCAATAAATGAACGAAAGTTCTGCCGTTTTAACAATTTAGTGTGTAATTATCTATTTTATTCGATTAATCCTACTTTACTCACGGCTTAAAATTCCGCACAAGCTCCTATTTCAGTGCATTTCATTCTAAGAAAACGCCCACCTCCTATGCAGACACGACTTTCGTCTAAATTTACATGCATACATTTTATTGGAATTGAAATGCTCACTGTCATGGTAAACCCCTAAAATAGACCAATGTTGAAGGCAAAGAACCTCTCGGTGCCATTAAGATGTTATTGTCGGCAGCAGCACACAGATTTTATTTGGGGTATTTTTGAACCGGATGGCACAATTTATCGGGTAAATGGGAAGATCGAGCATAAAAACAGGCGCGACTGCCAAATAAACTAAAACCAAATTGCTATAGTTAGAGTTGATGTGTTTTACAAGGCAAGTCATAATTTAATGCATAGGTATAAGGCAGTCAAGGTGAGGTCTTGAGTTGAAATAACGAAAATCTTGCATCAGGTACTTACAACACATACGACAATAATCAAAAGACATAAAAACCGTTTCTACCGAATTATTTCACTTTATTGGTGAAAACGTGCGTTATCGCTGTTAATTTTATAACGTGGATTTTATGACAAACCTTGCTTTGACGCTCGTCAACAGATTAAGATAAGAATTATTTTTAGTTCAGGGCTCAATTCGTTTAAGGGCAATAAAAAATATGTTTTATAGTGGTTGCTCTGAAAAATGCATCAATACATTTTTTAATATTGATAAGACCCAAGTTTGCAAGCTTCTAACATTTAATTGGTTACTTGGATTTTCATATAATTTTTCTTGGTTTTGAATCAAGATTTTGTAAAAATTGTCTGAGATTCTTAAATCGCCACTTCTTCCAAGTCACTAATTAGGATTTTTTGGTAGGAGTACGGTTGAATTTTTGCGTTCTGAGGCATAAAAATCAGTCGGGGGTTGGATTTTTGCACAATTGTTTCTATTTATTTTTTCAATGCTTTGTAAAATGTTCCCTTTCAAAACAGCAATTATCATAACAACATAAAAAGAAAACGATCTAGAAATTCGAAACCAAGCGCTCATACCAAAATCGCTCCATACTGGGTACGGAATAAATTTATAAAGCCGCCATCCAGTCGAAAATAAAAGTCAACCTTCGAGAAGAGGTATTTGACTGCCTGTTTTAAGATTGCCTATTTTAAGATTACGACCGTTGAAAGCCTGTCTTTCGAAGTGTGTTTATTTTCAGTCAATTATCGGATTATTCAGTCCAACAATCTCTCAGGTAATTTTTCCCTGCTCCTAAGACCAAATCATTCATGATTAAGAAAGTCAAACAATCGTAGCTTATCTAAGACACCCGTCCTCTAAATAGGTAGATTTTTCTAATCGCTTTAGCCCATAGTTAACTTAGTCTAATCTTGGCCCATATTGGAACATGGAGCTGATCTAAACAAGTAGGTAAAGCCCAATTTAAAAGAAGCTTGTAATGGAATTTACAGGGCGATACCCGCTAATCTCTCAAAGCCATCTGAACAGAAACGTCTCGGGGGTCCCATAAAACCGTCAACACCGTCATCTTTAGGTGTGGTAGACTTAAGATAGAAAACAGAACTTACAACTGGTTGCTTTGCCTAAGAATAAGCAATCAGCTAATATATTTGTCTTTTATCTAATCATTTGAGACTCAAATGGAACTGTAATTAAGTACTTATGTCCACAACAGTGATTAGTTTAGACAAATAATTATCTCGGGGCCAAAATGAGTTGCATTCCAAATGCTACAAGTTTAACTCGGATTGCCCCATGGAGACCGTCCGATTTGAGATATCAAAATGGGTGCTTTATAAATATCAGATAAATGCAAACATCCTCTAAGCAGCTGCAAACTCTTTGTCTTTTTTGGGGCTCTTTTTTTTGCTCCGCAGGACAGGTTTAAAGTATAATTTTACCCTCTGCAGGTGTAGGCTATTATGTAAGTGACTTCGTTAAACTGCTCGCTTATTAAAGTCAATTTTATTTAAATTCATTTCCATTTCTTATCACACTCAAAGTCCGGCATTCACCACATCCGGTTGCTGTTCTCATAAAACTCCTCAAAGCAACGACAGTAGTTCGAATAATTAACAGGAAAATCAGGCTTGTTGCTGCTAAATATGCATATATAATTAACTGGAATTCCGATCCGAAAATAATATTATGCAACGTGTTGCAGATGATAAGTGAACCAAATTTTACCTTCCTGCTAACAAACAATAAAACAAGCAAAATAATCAATGAAATTATCTGCACAAGTTTTGTGGAGAATTGAAGAAAAAAATGAAATTTTCCGATAATTTAAGCGGCCACGTACTGCGTACGTTATAAACTAATATACCACTAAATCAACGTCTAAACAGTATAATTAATTAGAAGTTTGCAAGTAAAAGGTTCTAATTATTATTAAACGCGAAAGAAAGTCTTCTGCATAATCAGTTGGGATGGTTGGAGAAAGCATTTCTAGCTAAGAACGTTTAGGCCTAATTAATACTTGCAATTATTTTTGGCAAACTTCCTGAGAATGGCTATTGAAAAAATGTGTTTATTTGGGATCAGAGAAGATTTTTCAGAAAAAGATTTTAAACTTTGTATGGGGTTTTAATGCAATAGACTGTTTTTTTCTGAAATGTGACTAGAATGTTGAAAAATATGCTTGAATTCTGTTTGTTTGTGTGAATCATCAGACATGCAAATTGCAAGTGGCTACCGATTTTGCTAGCCTTCGAAAAATCAGGGGCCTTTTGGATTCTAGAACGCGTTTAAGAATTTCCTAGTAATCCAGTGACAATTTAAAGTTGCGACTTCCTCCAGTTTTTTAGTTCGGTGTTCTTGTTTACAAAGGCGTACGTTTGAAAGGTATTATATTAAGCCCATGTTTGCAAGTTTCTTAAAAATTAGTGGGTGCTAGAATTTGTGTGCAATTTTCGCTATCTTTTGCTCAATATCTTCTCTCAATATTGCCAAATATTCAAATCGCTGGCAGCTCTCGTTTTCGAGTTGGAATTTTCTTTTAGCAAGAGTGTAAGTTTGGTTTTTAGCGTGTCTCAAAAATCAGTGAGACTTTGTATTTTGAACAGTTTTTATATACTTTGCTCAATATCTTCTATATATTGTGTGAAAATTTCAAGTCGCTAAAACTGCTCTGGTTTTCTTTTTTTCTTATTAATAAACCTGTAAGTTTGGGTTTTGGTGATTTCGGGTTGAGGTATGCAAGTGTCTCAAAAATCATTAATTCAAATCTGGTTACCATCGAGATTTAATTTTTTATTAACAGGGCCGTAATTACAATATGTATAAATTTTAACAATTTTCGTCATTAGATACCATTGCAATGATCTAAACCAGCATGGGAACCAACGATTCCATTAAGAATTATTGCATAATTATACCAGTTTAATTACAGTTGATCATCACCTGACTGGCAACATCAGTTACATGCAAATAATGAAGATTAGATTTCACACTGTATGAGCTTAAAAGATATTTCCACCTTTTGTCACATTCTTGCAATTATTGTTGATAACGGGCGCAAACAAAATCATGTTGTAAATCATTGACGTTGATTAGGATGGAATCGTTCTTTTGTTTGCTTTTTTCGCTCGGAAACTGTATTGAGAAAATCAACGATAACGTCAGCAATTAATTTTGTGTGTTTGTTATTTTTTTATGCCTTTTAAATAGAACACGTCATTATAATTCCTCCTCAGTTTGTCTATCAAAGAAGTAAAAGTGTTCATTGATAATGCGACCGTGATGTGTTCTGATTATTAGCCGAGAATTTGTGATAACTAACTTTCTTTCTATGGATGTTCGAGTGTGATACTTCTTCGATGAATCTGCCGGAGACTGAAACCAGTAATATCGATTTTCTTTGTAACACGCGGTGAAAGCGGTTTTTCCATTTAGCGCTTTCCTAGCTTATCTTACAATGACTTTTAAACGCAAAATTGATAATAAAACGTTAAACAAACCGAAATAAAATGAGTCAAATGGAACTAAGTCAGGTGATTCAGCGGGCTTAAGTAGAAGTCACCGTCGCAATTTCTCTGGATTTTACATTAAAAATCTGTTGCTCAATGAGTGCATGTTGGTTATCAGATGTATTAGTTAAATTATTCATTTTTTTATTTACTGAAAGGTAACATGAAGGGAAAGATATAAATTTACTTGCCTTTTTGGGAGGAGCGCTGGTAACATTTTGGCCAGCCGGTTGAATATTTTCGAAGTTCTTCTTCACCTCAACAACGTCAGGTAATTTGTAGTCTTCAGCTACCAGTTCACTAGCGATCGTTCCATTCAAAAGCTGATTTTTCTCATTTTCCGTCCCATTCAAAGTTTCCACTTCATCGTCCTCATTAACGGCTTTTTTCGGTTGGAATTTGCATTCGCCGTTGCTCTGACCGTTCATTAACTGGGGTTCGGGTTCTTCTACGGGAGTTTCATCCTCCACAACTTGTCCGTTAAGTTGAGCCAACAATGGTTCCTCAACAACCACAGTTTCACTTAAGAAGGAAACTTCGACAATTTGAGGCGCTGTGGATTCCAGTTGTTCCTCGATCGCACTTTCTGAAGACTCCGAGTTCACAGGAGTGGCTGGTTCAGGCGCAAGCGGCTCTGGAGCCGACTGTTCAGAATCGACGACTTCAGCAGCTGCTAAAGCTTCAGAATACGCGTTTTTCTCATTCAGTATGAACTCCTCGGTGGCTTCAGCCATTGGACTCTTCTTAACAGAGGGAGGCGCTTCGTCGGGAACACCGCGCTTCAGAATGCACGCATCTTCTTGCACCGACGGTTGAGTGTCCTCAGACGATTCTTTCTGAGCCTCGGCACCGTTCTGAGACGCCTCAGGGTTGTTGCTGACGGTTTCGGTTTCCTGCGACATGTTGCGGTTCTGAGCGCGTGCACCAACGACCGAAAATCGAACGCTTTTCAAAGGTCAGTAACTGAAGATGTTGAAAAGCCGGTAAGAGGAACGCTCGTATTCAACAGGATCAAGAGCGCGAATAGAAAAAACTGAATTCTGTCTGGTCTTGGGCTGCTGCAGAACGTGTAGACCCAATCTGAATATGTGTGCGTTTCTCAACGTTGCCGTAGTAGAAAATTTATCCCCGGTTTTTTCGCGGTTCTGTTAATGAATACTGCGTGTTTAATTAAGTAAACACTAACAACTAACTAACTTTATATATATATAGTACCGTGGATGGCCGAGTATCAAACTCTTTCTTCTGCTTCCAACTTTTATTCCACTCGTTATAACTTTAACTACGAAACAGGAACAAACTAACTTCTAAATTAACGTCAACTTCACAAACAATAACAATAACAAACGGAAAACTCGGTCTTCCGACTCGCGGGGTTTAACCTCTTCTCCACTCGGTCGTTGCTGTCACTTAACTCCGCCACCCCAAATTTTGTCTTTTTCGGTTGATGGGTAATTTTTCGAAAAAAAATTGCTACTCTAAGCCGAAAAAAATACGACGAATTCTACAAAGTAACTTAATATGATAAGAGATTCGAGCGGTGTCGTTTTCGATAGTGGATTTTTAACCAAAAAAACTAATTTAGAAATATCGTTCGAAACCAGCAATAAAAAATATCGAGAAGCGAAGTCCCATTCAAACGGGCGTAGTCTCTTTGTTGTAAAAAATTGAAAGTAAAAAAGACTATGGTTTTTGCTTAGCAGGAAATTTCAAAAGTTCTAATCAAGCAGGCAATAACGTTAAGTTGCACATTACACGGACAACTTAAGTTTTACGCAGTTTTCTTGTTAGTAGTTAAAGTCTACACAAAAGTGCGGACTTTTTTTTTCGTTTTTTTCCAAACTCAAATTGCTCCATAAACTAAAGTAAACAAGATACTCCAATGATTTTGCACCTCAACACAAAAATATTAAGTCAGATAAGTATATAAAATGTATCTATAATTCTATACTATACCAAATCACTAGATGATAAATCTGGAAATGGCGCAGTCCACCAGCTAGTCGATTCATTACGGGCCTTCTTACAATAACTAGCCAAACCTTACGTAGTTTTTTAGGCTCAAATTGTTTGCGGTTTACACCTTAGTGTCGGATTATCGGATTTCGATTTTTCGGCCGTCCTCAGGGCAATCTCGGCAACATGGGAAAAAGTGGCTGGCGCGATCCGTCCTGCATTCTCCGTCTGGCGACCGACCTCGGGCGTGATTAAACGTTTTTTCCTTCCTTTTTTGCCTCCTTTCTTGTGACATATGCTGATTCATTACGACGGGAAAGTTTGCATCATCGACAAACTCACTGGACGAATTAGATTTCGGATTTATTCAAAATTCATTCACTTTTTGCCACCACTACTCGCACTTAAATTACTGCATTGGTATATGTGCGTGCGTGGGTAAGGGAGCGCGCTCTGTATATGTCTTAACCATTTGTTGCAAATTGCATTTTCATACAAGCTAATTGTTTCGAATTATGTGCTCAGATCAATACAGATTTAGCGGTTTTTGATGTGATAACTTTTTATGCGAGGGTGAACCGATTTTTCTCGGTCACGGCGAGCCGTAACGAGGCTCCCCCTCCGGCCTCTTCGCGCCTGAGGCTTGGGACGCACAAATGCACTTTTTTGTTAGTCCGGGTGCATCTGTAGATTTGATAAACATTTCAAATACACATATTGAGTGTGATATTATTGTGTTCGGTGCAGTTTATTTTATAACGCTGATAACAATGAATCAACAAATTATCAAGGGAGAAGCTGCAGATACTGCAAATACTAGGTAAAGGGTGCTCATGTACTAAATGCCTGTTCGAGTTTCGCCTTCTTTTAAATTGCCAATTAAAGTGCACACACAATTATACACACTAAAGCAGTTTTAAGTGCAAAAAAATGCGAATCGTCCAACAATTTGCAGAAAATTGTATTACGAACTTTTGAAAATCATCTTCAAATGACCGGGTAATTATAATTACAAATGAGATTGCACATTGCCGTGTACTGTTAAATATTGTTTTAAGAACTAACAATCGATGTTGTGCAACAAAAGTGTGCCCAAGATCCACTACAATAACGTTTTTGAAAAACTGTTGGACCTATTTTAAATCGCCTACTAAGTACCTACTTAGGAAATTAATTGAGGAAACAAATTGTGTGAATAAGAACGAATTCATAAGATGAATGGATCTAATCAAACCGGCAGACCATATGGGTAACGTAACATTGAAATTCGGATGTTCACCTTGCTCCGATCTACATCGGCATTTCTTATAATGTAGCAGGTTCCAATTGGAACCTGCTATTGTTTATTCAAGGAGACGTTCAATAAAAAAATGTTTATTTTTCCTTCTGTTATTGTTAAATTAAGTTAAGTTAAAGGCCAAGCGGGACGTGAGTGGAAATGTTTTCTTCATTTAATTCCGTAACGAATTGAGCTTGTGGGCAAATAAATTCACTGGTAACGGATTCGTGAGATCGGAAGATCTTTGAAAACCGGTCGCTGTTGTTTGCTATTTCCATTTTTCTGCCGCGGGATTGCGGCGTCATATGGGAACCCAGAAATCTTCTAACCAAGAACCGTAATACGAATCGCTTCAATTTTATCCGAGCACATTAATCTGAGAACTGATTTGAGATTCCCCGCATAAGTGCTGTTCAGTATTCTTCAAGCGGGCCGAATGTTTCAATGTCCTTTTTACTAATTCAATGGTTTTTTGCCTTTCAATTCCATTCGACTGCTGAATATTTGATTGTCACTCATTATTCCTACTTCCTTAGCACTTTCAACTAATCGCTTTTTATATTATCATCAATGAAAGAACGGAACTTTAGTGCTGTGTATCCTATTTTCGTGCATAAACTTATACTTTGCCAGATCTTTCATGATGGCTCGATTATCCAAATCGTCATTTTCCAAGCTGGCCAGTAAAGTGACCAACAGATGAACACTGCCGACAATGGCAAAAGTGAGGACCATTGATTCGAAGGCTGATAGTGGCATTCTAAAGATCTGAGTAATCAATTGCTCCTGAAGCTGAAACAAGCAGCCAAATTTAAAACGCTCAACTGAGCTAGTTGGACCGTTGCTTACCGCTGATGGAAAACATGATTTTAGTCACATAGTGTGATTTTTTCACTTTAAAATTTTGCCATGACAGAAAGTGTAAACGATTGATGACAATGGCACCTGCACAAAGTTTCGGGAAATCAGGCTAGAAACATAACAGCATCGATGTAATTAGATAATATTAAGTTTATTAAAAATATTAGGTACAATTAAGTAACATTAACCACATTTTAAGCTGAGTGTGGAAGTAATAATTAACAATATTAAATACTAATAAACTATTATGAGAAACACAGATCACACAGCTGCCAGCCAGCTGCGAGTTAGTAAAATGCAATACTTACTTACATAAATAAATGGATGGATGATTACGTTCAAATGCATGAGTTTTGTTACCAATGGGAGCGGATAATGCCGAGAGATTTATGCAAACATTTTAACAACAACTGTATCAGGGGCTCATAAAACTCTCAAGCATTACTCCTGATCTCATCAACTTGAGTTATTCTCTTTTTTCAAAAGGGACGGGAATATTTCCGTGGTCCAATGGACAGAAAGGGTAAAATGACTATGGACTCAGAACCAACGGAAAGTATGGCCTTTGAACTTTCATAATCTGTCGCTCAAGAACATTTGCTCTGGATCAGATTATGAAAAGTGTTCCAAAGAAAATTGTTAAAATGAGCTGTGGCTTATTAAACGATCCAGAAGAGCGCTCGACGCTTGAAAGAATCTCGCATATTCAATACACATTTTCATCTGCAACGATTCTTACAGCGAGAGTGTTTCTGGTGTTTAAATCAGCCGCAAAGAAAAACTGGTGCTTATTCAGAACCAGTTGGACCTAAATTACCTTAAACATACTCTAAAATTAACAGCTGTTTAGCCAGTTTATATTTTTAATTTACTACGCTTAAACCAGCTATTGTTTAGTCCGTATGGACTGAACAACAGCAATACACCAAACAAAACGTTAAAACATTCATTATAACAATCAATAGAATAAATATAAAAATCATCATAAATAGTCTTAATTAATTAAAATGATATATTGCAACACGTCTACGTATCACTAGGCTTGGATATACATACATTGCAAAATGCTCAACTGAGCTGCTAAAATAAAATTTATAAAACATTACCAAGGGATTATTTGAAAAAAATGTGTTTTTCAAATAGGAATAAAGCAAATGGTTATGATGTTCTCAGTTTGGCCGAAATACCAATTTTTCTTACATATCACAATTAGTTTTATTTCTTTTTTCCTTATGCAATCTTAATTTATTGGTCTCTGCACTTGCATAATGATAAAATTATTTAAACCCTGTGTGGCTTCTTAGAAACAAGTGGTCGTGTTGTTGATCGATTCATCGCAATTTAAAGTCAAATGTTCATGATTATACAGGGGGAATAATTGGAATTAGTTGCTTATTCTACAGCCAATAATACGTGAAGCTCGCGTTTTCGAACAACTTTGCTTTCTTTTAATTAGTGGCTGGCAAAATGTCAGATAAATTAGCAAACCTGGTTAAACACCCTGCATGTTTAGAGCACGATAGTGCAAGATTACACAACTAAATAAATGTTTTTGCATCTACAGGGCTAAATGAATTCTTGTCACCATACATCTGGAGTTCCTTTGATTTTGGAGCATTCTCGTGCACATCTCCAGTTATAGACAGAGACTGAAAAATCAATCTGATTTCGCAAAAACTAGTGTTTCAGATGAAAATAAAATAGATAGCCTTACGTAACCCAATCACCAAATTAGTCTAACGTTGTCTAGCCTCAGACCTAATCACTTTTCTACACCTATATAAATATCAGGGATATAATCAATGGAGTGGAAAAAACCCACTTGGTTATTAGTGTGCATTTTTCGCTTCGCTAGTAATTATACCTTAAAGAACGAAGTGATAACTGCGATGGCATAGAGGACAGGTCTAGGTCGGGACTTTGGCTAGAATATGTTGTCCCGATTCGACCGGCCAGCTCTTTGGAAATTGCGGTTGTTCTGTCTTCTGGCGTTACTCATCTCTCTGGCCACTTCCAGGTCTTCCAGTCGCTGTGTCAGCGACAGCTTCTGTTGCACGGCCAATCTGAGCAGCTGGTTCAAAGTCTTCTTTTCATCTTCAGCAGCGGTTAACTGTTGCTGCAGCTCATCCACTTGGGTCACGTATTCTTCGCACCGAGCCGCAAACATTGCACGCAAACCTGCAATCAGTCAATTATTGGCTCAAATATCAATATTATAGTTTGCCACGCGGTTTGTACTCACTGGAGAACGTGGCAGCATCTTCCTTAAGTAGACGCAGCTCATTCCTCAATTTCATCATTGTTTCCGACACGATGGTCTTTTCCTTTTCGTATTTGCTCTTCAGATTGGTCAACGCCACTTCAGCGGTGTTCTTGTTAGACTTAAGGACGGTTCGAAGTGTGGCAATTTGTTCCCTCTTAGTGGACAGCAAACTCTTCAGTCTGATCACTTGCTCTTGCAACTCCTGGACTTCTTCATTGTTCTCATCCTTAGCTGTAAGATAAACAAACGAGATTTTGTATGAATATTTACATTAAAGAGCTACACTTTCCAAAACTATAAAACTCACATTCGTATGAACCATTCGTTTTCTCCCTCTTGGACTTTTCAATTGTGTTCTCAATAGCAGCTCGCAGATGCTTGATTTGGTCCATAACAGTGCACACATTTCGCGCCAATGTCGCGGCATCGTTCAGACTTTCCAGATCGTGCAGAGGCACGTCACTCTTCAGGCGGCTCCTTAGCAGCTCCAACTTGCTCATTTCGCCGATCATCATTGGCGCGGTTTCAGTCACTGAAGGATATTGAAATAACATTCCAATCAAAACGGTATTTAAACCAAACTTACTAGGAGTCATGCCTTCTTTTTCATGATCCAACACAACGCGCGTGGGTGTTTGGCCATTTACAGTACAAACATGATGATACAGTTGCGCTAACTCTTCAGTGACGGTTTGCAAGTTGTTCTGCGATTCGTCCAAAGAAGCGCCTGCTTGCATGGCAAATTCTCTTAGCAAATCAAAGTCGCCTTAAACATGCATCCAATTAAAATAAATTCTATTTTCCAGAGCTGCAGCCCACTACCTTCGACGTCCATTTGCTTCTGCTCGGTGTCTAGCAGCTTGTTCTTCAAGTTAGTGATTTCACTTCTCAAAGTCAAGGTAGAGTCTGAAATGTTGGTCAGTTTCTCTAGCTGCTTGATATCTTCCTTAAGCTGATAAACCTCTTTGTTGGACATTTTGAACCATTGCTGATATTGTCCAATCAGTTTGCTGGCTTCTTCTGAGGGCGCTTGCAGTACTTTGTCGTAATTATGCGACAGGTGTTGTAGGGAGTCCACATGAGCTGCCAGCTGAGTCAACCTGCGTGAAAAACAAACAATTTTCCTAGTTTTCGTTGGATGTTAACTGGTGTGTACCTGGCGACAAACACTTGCAGTTCCCCTTGGCTCTTCTCCACCAAACTTTGATTTTCCCTGAGCCCCTGCGTGAGCGTGATTTTCTCCTTTTCCAGCATTTCAAGCTGTTTCTCCAGTTTCTTCAGTTCATTCAAATGAACCTCTGAAAACAAATCGACGTGCTTATCGTCTGGTGATGTTAATTCCGATCCCGTTCCACTCGATAAACTGGCTTCTATGTGCTTTAAACCTATGGAGAACCGGAATAGATATATTCACGTTTTTAGCTCCCAGGTGTACGAATATACCTTCTTCCTCGCCATCACTGCCCAAAACAGTTTCCTCGGTGATCCCTCGTATACTATAAGCCAGGTTGTTAATGTTGTAGAATGATTCTCTGTTGATTTGCTGGTCCAGTTCCTTTTTCAGGGCGTACTTGGCTTCTCTTTCGCTTTGCAGTGTTTCAAGGGCTTCTTCCATATGTTTCTCGGCGATTCTTTTCAAGTTTGTCAATTCCTCAACTTGCAGATTGAGCAGCTCCATTTCCTCGTGCAGTCTCCTGATTTCATGTTTGAGGCTTTCATATTCAACCTAGAATGATAAAGGAACATATTTTCCAGGAAATAAGCTTGGATGAGCTGGGGCCTTGAAGCAGGATGTTTTGCGTTGTTTGCAAGAAAATACAGCTGAGAAAGTTGAAAATGTTTGTAAAACTGATCAGTTTTTCAGGCTTTTGTTCTGGAGTAGAATTTCTGCAAGGCTGGTTTGGCAGGCAAGTAGAAGATAATGTTTTCGCTTGCATTATAGTATTATTTGAGGGATTATTTGATTCATACCTGGGCGCTTCTAAGAGATGAAACTTGTTTCTGCAATGCAATGTTCTCTTCCTCCAGCTCTGAGTAGTCCAAAATAAGCCTGTTCTCCCTGAACTTCACTTCCCTGAGCTCAGTTCTAAGTCGTTTGCACTCCATGCTTCGATCCTCCTTGTCCTTGCCCATGTCATTGTTTTCTTGGAGCATGCGGTCCCTTTCAGCAGTGACTCTGTCCAGTTCATGTCGCAACTGCTTATTATCATTCTCCAAGTCAATGATTTGGGAATAAAGGGATGTTTCCCTAGCGGCCGACTCGTTGATAAGAGATTCTTCAGTTTCAATGCCAGTTTTGGTGGTCACTTTATGACTAGATTGGAACTTTGCTAGGGCCTAGAATCGAAAAAGGGTATCGGTGAAAGGCGAAGAAACTATTTGCCACCACAGCAAATCTCACTTACTTCTTTAGTTATCTGTAAGTCGTGCTTGGTGTTCTCGTACAGTGACTCGAATTCTTCGCATTTCTGCTGCAATTCCTTCTTTTCCTCCAACAGCACTAACCCAAACTGGGCAGATTGGACCTTTTCGCTGCTGGCCTGGTCAAGTTCCCGGATCAGTCTTTCGATTTCGCTTTTCAACAGTTCCTTTTCCTCTTGTGATGCCATAGTGGTGAGAGTTTTAATCAATCGGTAGTTCCAATGTGACAATAAAAGAAGGGTTTTTTCAAGCAATATCACAACATTTTCGCCATATTTTCGCAACCCTTCAATGTGTCAGGATGGTTGTCAACATAGATAAAGACGAGTAGACGGTTGTCAATATTGACAGAAGCCGTATGTTTTCAGAGCTGCTACACAAGGGACAGTCCAACGTTTACAACGCCACCTGTCAAAATCGAAGGAAATGTTTTAGATCAATTATTATGGTTACCATTTGAAATTCTCAAGTTGACCCCTGCTTAGCCTACAAGGTCGAAGTAGGCGTTGTTTTTCTGACACGAAAAAACTTTCCCCTTCCAGATATTAACTTCTTATTTGAAACATTTTTTCCTCGGATCACTCGTTTCCGAAATATTTAAGCGTTTCAAGATAATAAAAAAACACCATGATATATGTTACAAACAGGAGATTACATCGATGTCAAATCGCTGACCAATTTTCTGCTGAATGATCTCAGAATATTCGATGGCTCACCGGACGTGATTTTTTCCCTCGGTTTCAGCATTCATTATTTAATCGCTAAGTAATCGTGATTTTTTATTTGGGTACGCCTGATAGAACTCAAAATGGAGAATATCGAATTATAAGTTAATAATTATTATTGTTCTGTCTTTCTCATTGCTTAAATTTCGGCATTTTTTAGAGAGACTAAAATAGGTATATGCTTAATTTGAAAAAGAAACAAATGTACTTTTTTTTTCCACTTACCTGCTCGGCTTATAATGACACCAAATTCACCAAAATGTATTTAAACTACCACGAATCGCATATTTTTATGTTGAATGGTTAATATTAAAGTGAAATTTCTAGATAAGCCAACCAAATAAATTATAGGTACCGTAAACCAACAAGTTATCAGACCACCGTATTTTCCGGTAAATCACAGTGGAATTGTCGGATGTTACACGAAATCCGTTTACATCTTTATTTATGGCATTTAACTCACCTTTCATCAACGTAAGTGTTGGCATCGAGCAACTCCAATTTACCATCTGGAATACCATGTACCAGCTTGCGTAAATCCACGGGTCTTTTTGCGTCTACCACAAAACTGTTGAGCTTTTCTTCTACAGTCAAATACGAGGCTTTAAGCTGTTGCAACCGTTGCAGACGCACCAAACATTTTCTGCACACAATTGGATCTGGAATAAAGTGCAAGTCCTACAACGCAACAAAGATATGTTAAAAAAGCAGTAGAAATTATTTTTTGCTTTTTACCATTTCCGGCAAACAAAACTTTAAAATACTCTTAAGATCAGGGGGATCTTCAATAAATTGCTTTTCGATGGATTTCAAACAAGTCTGACAGCACCCTGGTTTGGAGAGCTGTTTCTTCCGTTGCTGTTGACATTCGAAGCAAGCCAACTTGAATTCATGCAGTTTATTCACCAAATGTGAGCATTGATGGCAAATAGACGGATTTATCGTTATGTCAAGATTCTGAAACATACAATCTAGGTATTATAGAAAATACCAGCAATTCCCAGGTTTCCCCAATGTGAACATATTTGATAATTTTTATGATGATGTGTACATGTAAACTATTGGGTAGGTATTGGAGATTAGTAACAACTACCTACGTAGACGTAAATTTATTGCTTACCACTTCCGGTATTAAGCTGTTAACAATGCACTTATAAGGGTCTGTCAACTTGGAATAACTATTACTTTCCGAGAACAGCAAGCAAAGTCGACAAACCTCCATGTTTAATTCAATAAATTACGTAAATAGGGCTGTAGTATTGAAGGTCATTGCTCAGAAAATTACTTACTATAGAATCACTTTTCTAATAGATTGAATATATCTAGTCATAACCTTATTTCAATTTTGCAGTCCCGCGCCTCCTAACCTATTTCTGTTCATGGAGCAATAATCATGCACAGATCAAAGAGGTTACACTGTGGTAATCATGTAATAGATCCAGAGTTTTTTTTTGTTTATAATTGTTTATAAACAATGTCCCACAGCCGGAAATCGAGCACAAACTATTGTCTCAATATTCTGACATCCCTCGGAACAACTTCCAATAATCTTTTACCATCATATTTTCAGTGCCCGACACAGGCTTTTTAAAGTGTAATCCGACTGGACTCAATACGCTTCGGCCCGGTTTCAGGTACAAACCAATATTTATCATGGGCCAAATAACATGTGACAAAAAATCACAGATACTTGGAACAGTCACACATGGAACCTGTGACTGAAAAATACTCGTTTGTGTCATCCCTAGTATACAGTTCATTGAGTAAACCTTTGAAAATAAAACCAACTTAAACTATAATATGAATATGATATTGAATATAAAACTTAGTTTTATATTCAAAGAAGTAAACACAACGACTTTCTATAAGCTACTTGCACGCCACGTGACCATAGATGAAGGCTGCACGTGACTGACACTGACAATTATTTTAATTCTCGGTTCTTTGGTAAGCCAATCTATACGTATTGAATGAAAATATAAAGGAAATTAATGTGAGACAACATTTTATTCAACTTTAAATCACTACTTCACGAAATTAGTGGTGAAATATATATTTAAAACAGATATTCGTCATATATGTAAGCATCTCGGAGCTAAAAGTGAGTTGTAGCTAAAGCTACTTAATTACCAGATTCAGATAATCACCCCTGTTTATTAAAAGGTCAGAAATTGTCTTGCCATCAAATATTTCGTTAATGATCTAAAAAGTTACTCTTGTTATTTTGAAGTGCAACAGGTATCAATGTATTCTTACAGACTGGATATACGGATCTGCAACGTCTACCTGTTCCCTAAAAATAATGCGGATAGCGTCGGGTATTATTTCCTGTATAACTCCATTTAATAATGGGTCCAAATCGACGTCTCCATTCATAAAATTTTCAAAATGGCTCTATAAGAAACGGAGCTAAAGGCTCTTCATGGTGGTGTTGGCGGAGTACCTACTTACCTCGCAGTCCTCCACAAAAACTTTAACCATCATTGGAAAACATAAGCGAGAACTATTCAAACTCAAACTGGAAACAACTGCTACCGATAAGTTGTTCAATTCAATCCTTAAAAAATTGTTTGTAACAAAAATGTAAATTATTTATCAAACACCTGAAATTTTTATCGAATGGCTTACATGAAATTGCCTTTGCCATAAATATCAAAAAGACGATTCTTGCCGACGTAGCCGTCGAGATCATATGATCCATTAACAAAAGCATTCGCAATGGTAAAATTGAAAATTTCAATGTTAGCAGGATGAACAATAGAAAATAATTTCCAAGTGGGAGAAGAAGTTAGTATCCATCCATCTGTCATAGTACCTTCAAGACTGAAAATAATTATAAACGAATTTTATTCATTAAAGCAGGGGCCAACTTGAGAATTTAGTATGTATTTTTACGTTATAGCAGGATGGGAGAAATTGACATTAAAAACATCGTAGTTAATTCATTTTGTTTCCAGAAATAGCTCATCTAACTTTTGCAGGATTGCTTCACTATTATCTAAAAATTAGGAAATATATGATTGCGATTGGTCTGACCCTCACCATTTGACTTGCCTGAAAGTTGCGCGCCGCCATAATGAAGGCTAGTTTTGAAGCAAATTTCTACTTCGCCAATGGTTAAAGCAGCCAGTGTTAACACCAGCAAAGTCACTGAACCAGTACTCCTGAAAAGTCCATTACCTAACACCCGGAAAATGGTACAAAAATCAGCCCATACTTACATTTTATCACATACCGTACACTTGACAACAATTGTAAACTTAATATAAATTGATTATTTATGTCCGAGTTCTGCTTCAGATTAGATATTGTTGATTAAAATTGCACTTGTAAAGTTGAGTAAAAGCAATAGTGATTGGTGTGATTGACAGAGCACAAAAGTCTACATTATGTGATGTACATATGCATGTACATCACATGAATGTTCCAGGTATATTCTGGGAATATCATTTTGCTATGTGGGCATTTAATCATTTTCCACAATTATTGTATTATACATTATAACATGTAAGTACACTTGAATTAAAATGTTTAATAGATTTTATTTCGCACTGAAATCCATGAAAACTGAATAAAAAATACATTTTAAAGCTACTTTGCTTCATGGGAATGCAGACAGGCAAATATTTAGCGTGTGCTAATTAATAACATCAACATTGGATGGTAGTTTGTAACTGTATGTATATGTCCTGTTATCCTAAACAGGAGTACTTCTACAAAATAAACAGTAGCAATGAGAGCCATCAGCACTATACTGGTTTTCAATATATTGGCAAACGGTTTGCAAGCCGCCGATGTGGCGACTAAGATTCAGAAGGAAAACGTTCTACTAAGCAGAGGAAAGCGGTACGTGCAATGGCCCAAAGGCAGCAATTTTGTAGTAAGTGTCCAAAAAAATTCAATTCATATACGAAAGTTGTGGATTACTTGTAGATTAACTTTACTTGCACAAAACCGCTTCTACGTTACCAACCGCTGACTTGGAATACCGTCTATGAAATGGATATTCCATTTGCTGCTTTAATAGAGACCAAATCGTTTTTTGGTCAAGCTTCAAAATCAAAACGGCACGTTCTGGAAAGAAAAAATTTACTTGGGCAATTGGAGGATTTAATGTTTCTGTGAGTAGGAATAACCCTTGACCGCTTCGATACGAAAGCAGACGCTATGCGATTTCTAGGATGGGCCTAAACGGACGGGCGTGTGTGAACAGACTGTTGTGTGAATCAAAAATATTTCTGGAGACAAAAGAAAGGCCAATGCTTAGAGAGTTGATTCGGGTGTTGTTTAGGTGAGAAATATCTGGAAACTGATTCTTCTAAAAAAACTATAGTATATACTATAACATGTATGTGTTCAGCTCCTACATGGATGACGAACTGCTGAATGGATACAGTGACCGAGACTGCGATGCCGATTTCAGTTTGTGTCCGATGTCAGTGTTGGCTCTCTTCGTAAATTCAACCAATGAGGACATTAACTCCTCTTATTTCTCTGTGCGCCAATAAACAAAAATATGTACAATTTTGGTTGTAGTGTATTAATTAACTTATTTCCTATAATTTGCATTTGAATTGAAGCAAAAGCAGATCGCCGACCTATGTATATGTAGTCAATAAAAAAAGTCCATACATCCGTTATTTTTCAATATTATTTCTTAGTTTGCTATTTTATTTTAGTTTAATTAGCAAAATCATAAAAGTAAATGTTGACAGGCTCCTTAGAAGTAATAAAATTAATTGAAAAGTCATTTGAATCACTTGATTTGAACAATAAATTATGAAATGATATTTTGAATGTGACGTTTGTAAACAAATGTGATTAATATGTTTCAGGCGAAACCTAACAAACCCAAGGGCGGATCCAGGGTGGGGGGCATGGGAGTCATGACCCCCCC